TCTCTCTCTCTCTCTCTCTCTCTCTCTCTCTCCGCACTCCCAGGCGATGTCCGATAACCTGCCTTGCCCCCCACGCTCTCTCCCCGCAGGCCCACCCGACGCGCACCCCGACCCGTCCCCGCCATTGATGCAAACGCCCCGACGCTCCGATAAGCTCCCCTTGCCCCACGCCGCCTTCCGCTGCCCGGTTCCCACCCCTTCGCCTCGGCCTGCGCGCCTGCGAACTTTCGTCCGCGGGGCCAGGGCCTGCGCGCCTTCAAATTTTCGTCCACGCGGCAGCCTGCCCCCCCGCCTCGGTTTTGTGTCCCAACCCGGTTCCCGCCCTGTCCCCGCCTCCTGTTGGTACTGCCCAGTCCCAGTGGGCCCCTCGTGCGCGTCGGCCGCGGGCAATTTCGCCGCCGTCTCCTCCGCCTCCGCCTCAACCCCGCACTCGAATTTTCGTCCGCGCAGCAGCCTGCCCCCCCACCTCGGTTTTGTGTCCCAAGCGGTTTCCGATGGGCCCGCGACCGAGCATGTCGCCAGACCCTTTGCTTGCTTGAGTATGTATAGAGATATGGAAAAAAAAGGCGTGCCTTTTCTTCACCCTCCCCTTCCCCGCCCCGCGGGGCAATGATAATCCTCTCATCGCACTGATAGCTGGCAAGCTGCAGCGCACTTGTGCGCTGTGCAGCGGGCTGCAATCGCTAACCGATAGGCCCCAGCCAGGCTCGCGAAACGGGCCCAGCGCAGAGGTTCAGACGGGTTGCAAATTGAAAAAAACATCCCACTGATTCTCCAGTCACGACCTGTTGGAATACCGGCCCACGCTCTAAGCCATCAAGAAAAAAATGAGTGGTAGTTAAAATTTCTGGATGCATGCCGCGGTCTGCTGGGTCCATGCTGGCATATCTGTTGCTCACGACGTTTGATCTCAGCCGTCCGTTCGGGCCCAGCAGAGCCACAGCTGGCGGAAGCTGTGGCTTCCCACTGTTCCCAGCCATGGCATTCGATCACACCGGTCCCTTGATTGCCCCAATCAGGCTCAATGCGACCCTGAAGTTTATTTTTCTGCATAGTTTTTTTTCGTTTTTTTTTTTTTTTTTTTTTTTTTGTGTGCTAGGACCTGCCCTGGTCCTTGCACGCCCAAGCCGCCCGGGAAAATAGGGTGACCCGGGTGGCCCGGCTGGTACCCTATGTATTAATATCAGAATTTTTTATTTTTATTTTTTGTCCGAATTTCAAATTGAATTGCAAATTTCTGTATGGCTGTGTTGTCGGCTCATTGCAGGTTGACACATTCTTTGCAGTTGGATCCCCACTTGGCCTTTTTCTGGCCTTAAGAAACATACGCCTTGGTACAGGTGTGTGCAGGAATTTATATTATTTTATAAATTTTTACCTCCCCCTCTCTCCTGCTCGCCATCACGGATTCTTCACTCACTGTACGCACAAGTTTCGTTCTTTTTTTTTTTTTTTTTTTTTTTTTTTTTTT